CTGAACCTTGAAAGCATTCAGGCTATTTTTTAACAGGAACTGAAGCTGGCTTTGGTTTGTGTGTGCGTTATTGTCACTGCAGTTCTGGGAGCGTGGCCTGACTGCTTGTGCACAGACAGCTGAGGAGCAATAGTGTTGTCTGTGGAGCAGGAGGCTGGAATTTAGTCTGTGGCAAATACTGCTAACAGATTTCAGGTCAGAACAGAACTGAGGATGTATGAAGTCACTTCATGATGTGAGATGGGGAGCACAGCAGCAGAGGCAGTGTGTCATTTCATCCTCTTAAGGTGACACGAGCACTGTTTATAGAGGCTACTGCAATCTGTAGCAGCAGCTTTAGAAGCGTATACAACTTCTTTTAGAAGTTTGTGATTTTTAAAAGCATAATTTTAAGTAGCCAGGCCTGATGTTTCACGTATAGGGAGTAGTCTGCTTGTAGCTGAAATGAATTCTGATTTCAGTGATGCAGAGGAGGGCCCTGACGCTCTCACTTTTGAAAAGATTTCCAGCTTTACAGTGTAAAACCCTCACTTCTTACCACTATTGGTGGAAAACCTGACCTTAAAATTGTAACAACACCTCAGTCCAGTTTTAGGCTTTTGGCAGTGCTGATTGTCTGAATGTAACAAGTCCAGTGCTCTTTGTACATCTCCCACATGTACTTACTTTCCACATTTCACCCTAGTTCTTTGTCTGCCCAGAGAACACACCTGACCACTTCTGCCTCAGTCCAGTGAGGCTGAAACAGATCTCTGGACATACCCCTTTATCTCAAAGTCAAAATGCTTCCATGTCCAGATAATATTGAGATCAGGGTCTGCTGTTAATGCTCTGATTTCTCTCCTCTTAAATACAGAACAATGCAGAATATGATTCTTCTCGCTGCTTTGCATTTGTCCATGACCTGTGCAACGACCAAAGTCCTTTCCCAATGCCAGAAGAGAGTCTTGACGTTGTTATTCTTATCTTTGTCCTCTCAGCGATTCTCCCAGAGAAGTAAGTTTTAATAATTCCTTCTGGTTGTAGAAGATAATGCATATAGAGCTGGAGTTCTTTAGTAGTACATCTCCTCATATCAAGGAAAATTAAAGTTTGCTCAGTGTCTGGTCCAGTTTTCCATTAAGCCTCTGAAAAATGAAATTTGCAGGTGCTTTCTGTTGTAACAAATTCTGGCATAGGCTAGGTGTGATTTTGAAGTACTCAGTGGCTGTAGATGATGTCTTGCTGCAGTCAGAGTTGCTCACCTGTTCCGAACCCCAGTGACACTGAGCACTCAGCACCCATTTGTGGAAATTGCTGCTAGATTTTAAGGCTCAAAGGCTAGAGGAAATTCTCATATGGGAGGTGGCAAGAAGAGAGGGAATAGAAAAGGGAAGAGAAAACAGTTAAGAAAAGTGCTGTGATCTTAGCGTGACTGTTACAGCCTGCACTAGTCTCTCTTTTGTGTTCCCTTTGGTTTTATTTCACAGTGTTTTTCTTCAAGTTCACTTATTACATAGAAACCAGTGGAGATACTGCTGTAATTAGTAAGGGAGTGCAGTTAATTCCTG